CAGTTCGTCACTACCTGGATCTTTTGTGGTTGTATATGAATTTTAGAGTAAGTTTATTACCCACACAAAACCCTGCTGTATTTTTATTGTCATTGTATTAAGCAACAGTACTTGGATTTAATATGTCTAACAGTGATGTGTTTTATCAGAATAGCTAAGCAATTCTGGAAAAGAGTGAGTTTACAGAAGTTTACATGAGCAAGACTGGATGCTACCCTGGACATCAGAACAACATAGTAGTGGAAAGTGATGGGTTTGTGGGTCAATGGAACAGAACAGACAGTTCAGGATACCTTCCCTCACAAATAGGACATGTTTCATAGAGACAGGAGATAAGTAATTCATTAGAGGAGGATAGTGTCCCAACATTAAGATCGGAATAAATTGTCATCTATGTATAAAATGAATTTTGACCTAAACCTAGTCCTATATGCAGAAATTCTGTTAAAATATGTCATAACTTAAATGTAAAATTTCAAAACCCCTAGAAGGAAACACTGGAGATCTCCTTTGTGAGTTGTGGTTAGATGATGGATTCTTAGATATGAAACCAAGTCTGTTGCATAAGACCTACTAAATGTCATCTTATTTCTAAAGGCTAATCCTTGATAATTAAGAACCCTTGATATGCAAAAGATATTAATAACAACATGAAAAGACAAGCTACAAAATTGTGGTGAATATTTGCAAGTTATGTGTTCAACAAGGCTCTTAACATTAAAAATATATAATAAACTCTCATAAGCCAAGAGGAGAACAAAGAATCTTACACTAAAACAAATGGATAAACTCTTGAAAAGACAGTTCCCTCAAACTACATATGAGTTAGCAAATTAATGACCCAAACCATTTTCAATATCACACACCAATAGGAAAATGAAAATGTAAAACTATTCTAATTACAAAAAATTAAGACTATTTTAATTTCTCTAATTACAAGAACCTAAAATAAAAGTACTAGCAATGTCAAATGCTGCATAAGATGTGAAACCTCACAGTTGTTAGTGGGAAAAACAATTCTTACAACCACGCAGGAATTATTTCCTGTGAAGTAAGCATTCACTTGCCATGTGACCCAGCAAAAATATAACTGGTCATTTACCTCAGAGAATGGACAATACTTCTACACAAACTTATAGAAGCTTTAGTTGACAGAACTTAAGACTAGAAAGGCCCCACCTGCCCCTCAAGAAAAATAAATCAGTCTGTGATCTACACACACAATGGCATACTGCTCCTGGAAATCAAGATATAACCCACTGCTGACAGGGCCAACAACTTGGGCGAATCCTAGTGCAGACTGATGGAGTCAACCTTGGGAAGTTATATGCTAGGTGATTCCAACTGGGAGATTCCTGAAGACAGAGCTGTTGTAATGGAGAATAGATCCATGGTTACCAGAGGAAATGAGTTTCTCCGGACAGTGTTCTAATGATCCCTAATATGCTCTTCCATCAACCTTCCTTGACCCCACCCAAACTTCAAGGAAAGGGTTATTTGTTGGCACAGGGTAGTTCAGCTTCATTGATGATAACCTTGCTTTCCCACGTGCAACTAGTTCTTCAGGGGTATGTTTTTAAAGAGCCAACACCACTTTACTGCATGAGTTTAAAAAAATAGATAAAAAGATTTCAAACCTCTCCTTTACTTGAGCACTTAATTCCTCTCATAGTTTCTTCTCAAAACAAATAGACTTCCCCACCAGGGAGTGCAAATCTCTTTTAAAGACTTAGATTCTAAACAGCGATTGCCAGGAAATTCTGTTGCAAAGCAGATTCTTAGGAATCGGGTTCATCTGATATATTGGACTTAATTATCCAAGTATCATGCAAATTGTTAGGTTTTAGTGTAGAAATTTCCAACAAAATTTGTTTTATTGTCCTCCTCAATGAGTCCATTTCAGATGGAAGAGGGGTATCTTTGAGAATCCTGGGAGTTTGAGCCTTTAGCTCATCTCTGCTTGCCTACCTCTGTCTCCTCCACTTTTATTACATGTGGGAAATCAAAAATGCCTCCTCCATTCCTTGAGCAATTTGTTTTCTGCCCATCTCTTCCCTGTGCTGTTGCATTTCTCCAGATCTCTCCTGGCATTTATGTTGTCTCCAGAACCAAGGTCATTGTTTTTGTTCAGAAGTTACTGGCATCCTTCTCCATTTTCATAAATTTTCTTTAAAATTCTCTTAGTTTAATCAGATTCTTCCCTTTCCTCTAACCCCTTCCATAGTCTTCCCATTTCCATAGAACTTCCCATAGTTCCCATGCAACTTCATGTTATTTCTGTTTCTCTAAACCAGTGGTTCGAAACCTTCCTAAGGCTACAACCCTTTAATGCAGTTCCTCATGCTGTGGTAACATCCCACCATAAAATTTTTTTGTTGTTACTTTATAACTGTAATTTTGCTACTGGTATAAATTATAATGTAAACATCTGTGCTTTCCAATGGTCTTGGGTGACCCCTATGAAAGGGTCATTCTGGGTTGCCACCTACAGGTTGAGAACAACTGCTCTAAACAAACAAACACCCCCCCCAAAAAAACAAATAAACAAACCAAACCCAAAGAAAACACACACAAACCAAACCCAAACAAAACAGCATGGAATCTGTTTGGTGTTGGTAACTACTCCTGAATGTGAGGCCTGCCATGGAGTGTGCCTCATATGCTCAGTGTCACTTCATTTGAGAAAACTGTTTTACCCTCTCCCAGTACCTGTACATTGCAAATTACTTCTTAGATAGGGGATTGAACTTTGTGCCGACTTCCCATTCTTTGTGTAGGGACTTTGTGAATTTAATTGTGCAGATCTTGCAGAGTTTATCACAGTCTCTGTAAGTTCATATGTGCATCATCCCCGGGTGCCTGACTCAGGTAACACAGACTCAGAAAGACAAACATTGCATAGTTTCTCATATATTTGGATGTTAGCTTTTATGCTTTAGATATGTGTGGTTTATTTTGTGTATTTTACTTGCAGTGTGTCAAAACCCCTCTTATTGGAGACTGTTTCTTTACTCTGCCTTTTTGCTGTTGATCAGAATAACATTTTTTTTTAATGTTAAGAACTGTAGCTGGTTGTAATTACTATGAAATTTGGATATGCTATTCCTCTCAGATGTTTTGCTCGTGTTGTATTGTTTCTATTTTTATGATAAATTTCTGGAAGTTGTGATTTGTACCCTGGATCACTTATAGCATCTGTGATATCATGACTATCCTCCATACATTTATCAGAATCTTTTAATGTGATACCATTTCCTCTGAGTAATCTCATGCGCACTGGAGAATTAAGAAAATGGGGATATAATGAGGTGACAGGACCCTGAAACAACAGCAAGGCAGTATGCAACAAAGCAGAATTTGAACCCAAAGAGTCTGTCTCTAGATCCCATGGACTTAGTCTGTAGTACTGGAGACACTAAGTGCATACTGGGAGAATGTCTTGCCTGTGATGATGGACAGCAGGTGTGGGCTACAGAGATCCATATTCTAATTTCCAGCAGGCTAATAGCCATGTGGATCTCAATTTATGGGGAGTTTTGACAGTTATTTCCACTATTTAAATACCTTGTCTTGATATGAGATGGTAAGAGACAGAAAAGCACTGAGGATTTCACTAGGCTCTCAGCTTTGTTCCTTAGCCAGATGTGGTAACATCAATACATTATAGTTCACAGTGTCCTGATCACATCAAAAGGATATTAGGAAGCATTTGGCACATAAGATAGGGTCATTTATCTAAATTTGGTTTTTATTGGCTTTCACATTAATCCAACCTGTTACATCTCAAATCACCATGGCATTTCCAGTGTGACTATCTAGACATGTGTCTTTGTAACTGTCCTCGCCCACACTCCCAACTGCATATGAGACACTTGTCAGTTCACATCATCAGGATGGGTCTCTTCAGCTTGCTTTATGGAAGGTTCCATTATGGAAGCATTGTCAGTTCTTCTGGTTAGGTTCAGGACTCTCATTTTGACAAAGGTGTTTTCTTTACCCTCAAGTGAATATGAAAGCATAGCTATTAAATGGAATTTAAGTTCCAAAGAGTACAATTTGTCCTTCAAAACAGACATAGAGTGTGAGGTGGTGGCTCAGTTAGTAGAGTGCAGGCTGTACAAGCACCAGGAGCTGAGTTCAGATTCCCAGCACCTAAAAAGGTAGAACTTATCTGCTATCCCAGGACTGGGTGAGGCAGACAGGAAGATACTTGGAGCTCATTAGCAGGCTGATGCATAGGAGAGTTTCAGTGAGAGACCCTGTCTCAAAAAATAAGGCACAGAGTGGCTGAAAAACATTCAACATCAACCTCTGGCTTCAATACACATGTTCATACATAAACCACACACACACACACACACACACACACACACACACACACACCTGACTTTGCACAGGATGAGGTACATTTGCAGTATGGATCGGCATGTACGTAAGGTTTCATTTCAACATAGCAATGCTCTTAGCTATAGGTACTCTTTTATCATCTTTGATGTCACAACAACTCATTTTTTAAGATAACTACATCAGACATCACTCAATCCACAATGTCTAAAATGCCTATTACCATTCCAAGTTCAGCAAATACTTGGTGTTCCTCTATTTACAGAAGTATACATAGCTTCTCCCTTGTTTATGGTGAAGAAATGCTACAGTAACTGCTTTAGATTTGATACCCTTGAAGACGAATAAGTAGTCTTCCTATGAAGCTCATGTTTAACCCAATAATCCCATTCATTACTTCTCTATTACTGCTGACTTAAATATTCTGTTTCTTAAAAATGCTTTTTGTGATGTCTGTGAAATTATGACCTTACTGTTTTGCTTCCCATTAAGGGATCAAGAGTAAATTTTCTGTATAAATTCCCTTTGGGTATGCCCTTACACAGTAAGAAGACTCATGTCCTCTCCTTGTGCTCTATCTTGTAGGAGTTACCAACTATTTTCCACTAGAGGCACACTCTTTTTGAGGAGTGGAATTCTTGATTCTTCATGCAGTCATGGATCTGGATAAACCATCTGTCTGGGGGTCATTAAAACAGCGGACCAGACCATTGTTAATCAACTTGAGCAAGAAGAAAGCTAAAAAGAACCCAAGTAAACCCTTGGATTTAAGGGTGCAGCATCACCTGGACCGGCGACTCAGCCTCTCTGTGCCTGACCTCCTAGAAGCAGAGACCTTGGCACCCGAGGGCCGGCCTTACTCTGGGCCCCAGTCATCCTATACCTCGGTACCCAACAGCCTGTCCACAGCAGGCATCGTCCCCAAGAGCAGCAGCAGCTCCCTGAAGCAGTCTGAGGAAGAACTGGACTGGAGCCAGGAGGAAGTAAGTCATGTTCACGCGCTGGACACCGACTCTGAGGAGATCTATGCCTCTTCTGCAGAAGAGCGGCCGGCATCCAGCCAAAGTGGCTTGGATCTGCAGAAACATCCCCTTGGAGGGGATACTCCTGAAGAGCCAGAGGTGAGGCCTGGGCACTTCCCAGCTTAAAAAAATTTAAGGTGCAGTCATTGTCCTTGGGTAATTTGGGTAGGAGTTATTTTGTGGTTATACTGGATGGAAAGAATGTCATTTACGAGAATTTAAATTAATGTAATATTGATTGCACTTGTGTTCCCATTTGTTTTAGGGATGACCTCTATGTATTTAAAAGCTAGCACAAAAGAATCTTCAAGGACCGTTTAAGGCTTCAAAAGCCCTAGTGGGTGAAGTTTCATTGTTTCTTCTTCTGGCAAAAAATTTGAGGACATAACTTAAACCTTTTGTATTTCCCCTTCTTCTCCTCTTCCTCCTCTTCCTCCATTCTTTCCTCTTCTCCTTCCTCTCCCTCCCTTCTTCCTCTTCCTCTTCCACCCTTAATCTCAGTAGGTTACAATTTCCACACTGAGGTGAGGAGTGGCAACAAATGAGAGCAATAGAGCCTCCCCTCTACTATTATATGCTCAATCAGACTTGTAGATAAAGCATGCACACTGTGTTTTTCCCAATCTAGACAAAGCATACAGACCATTTTTAGATGGTGCGTATGTTTATCTTTGACCACTAGATCCCAAAGGATGCCCTTTCCTCCTGTGGTATCAGGTCTGTGTAAACTTATGCACAAGGTTGAACACTTGGTTTTGAGAATTTCCCTTACCTCTCTGCACAAAAAGATAGTAAAAGTCAATGATCAAACTTTCATTGATTGGTGGTTTTAGCAAAGTTTCAACATTTCAGGGAGGCTAAGTGGCCAGTGTAATGCCTAAGTTCATGGATATGGAAGAAGAGTTTAAATTCAGTCGCAAATCCCTAAATCCTGATTTGGATGATCAATTTAATCAGTCAACTTGGATATTTTTGTTTGAATTCTTAATTAATGATACAGAAATACCTTCCAATGTTGATCAGGCTAATTTTTTATGTCTTCCAGATTAATCTTAGAGTTGTATAAAAATTGATTCATCAGATGAAGGTTCTGGTTTTACTTTCAGATGATAATCTGTCGATCTTACAGTGTGTCTCGATTTCCTTGGGGAATGGACTCTGGGAATGGAGGATGCTGGGACTATGTTCTTTTGGACATTGTTACTCATTAAAGGGCTCAGCAATTTTAATTTTGACTTTAACACTTAGAAGATATTGTTTGCAAAAAATTTTTGTATTTAATATTTGTAAATTTGAAATATGTTTCCATTTTACAAAATGTTAATAAGGTAGATCTAATAAGCTTTGTCAGTATGTGAAAGGAAATCTGTTGATTATATCTTGAAATCATCTTCAACATCTTTGCATTTGTCTGAATCTGAGTGGACTTCTTGGCTTTGATATAGGAGCAATTTCAAATTAGAAGATTTTTGAGCTTTAGCCCTTCAGTACTCTTTGTTGAATAAATAGAAATATTTAAATCCATGCAACCTAAACATTGCAAAGGATATTATTGGAAACTGATTTATGTTATGATCATGGGGGCCAGGACTGGGAGTGGTAAAGTGTGTGGTTTGCACGGTGCCTGAATCTTCCTGGTCCCTTTACTATAAGATGGGTCTGTCTACTCCCTAACATTCCAGTGTTTATTATGCAGAGAGAGGCTCCATGAGTTGTCTGTGAGTTTCAGAGTGTGCATGGCTAGGAGAGGAATGTCTAATTTTTTCTTTTCTGAAGGCCTTGCTCTGTGCCCATACAGAGCATATGTGAAAATATGCTTAATTAAGAAAAAAATCAGTGATGTCAATTGACCAAGGTTAATGGAGTTGTATTTTGTGGGTTTTCAAAATTGATTTGTTAATAGTGTTTATTAGTTAAATTGAAAATGGCCTTCATGGTGATTTTCTTTCTCTGTAAGTATATAGTGTGTTCTGATAATACTGCTTTTGTTTACAGTCATTCCTGCGCTCCTTGATTCTAATACTTTTCTCTACTCACCCACAATTCAGTTCGTAAACACGTTTTTTTAGATGCCACATTTGAGAGGAAGTGTGTGGTCCCTGATTTTCTGAGACTGGCTTATTTTGCTTAATATGATCTGTACTATTTTTACCCATTTTCTTGCAAATGGCATGGGTTTGTTCTTCTTTATGCTGAATAATATTGCACTGTATATAGAGAGCATATTTCCTTTATCTGTACACCTGTGCCTGGCCACTAGACTTGTTCTCTAACTTGGATATTACAAGAAATGAAGAATTATACAATGGATGCAGCTGTCTATTGCATGCTCACTTTGAGATTCCTTTGAATGGCTAGACTTTTTGTTGTTATTTAATACTTGTCTACTTTTGATTTTGATCTTTGTATTTTTTCTCTTTTCTTACTTGTTTTTAATGTTTATACTATACACAATAGTGGCTTTCATTATGACATTTTTATAAATTTACATAATGTATTTTGATCATGTTAATTCATATCTTGTCTCTTCCTATACCAGATAATCCCCTTCCTATGTCCCTTCCATTCCCCGCCATGTGTTTTCATGGATTTTTTGTTGTTGTTATTGTTTTTTCTTTCTGTTGACCCATTGGGGTTGCTTATAAGAGCATGAATGGGTAAGGTCTTGTGTACAGAAGGATGGGCACCTTACCAGTAGCTTTGACACTGGACAAAATAAAAGTTCTCCGTCTCTCTCAGCAGCTATTAGTGTTTTCATCATGAGTTTTTTGTTTGTTTGTTGATTTTTTTTTGGTTTATGAGTTAATGAAATCAATACATCTTTCTTGAAAAAGTACTCTAAGTACACTATTCTATAAGATGTTAGCTGCAAGTGTAGAGAGGTACATGAAGGTGGATTATGTTCCAGCCCAAATGTGGTAAGAACTTGAAATCTGGATTTGTGAATTTTGCTTCATTTTATGAGAATAGAAATCCTGATAAGTTTGTGTCATTGGAGTCTTGATATTAGCTTATCTGTCTCCTGGATCTGACTCATGTTTGCCTTCCTTATAAATAGTCCACAAACATCTATAACTTTTATGGGATGGGGGAGAACTAATATGGATGCCACTGTTTGTCATGTGACGAGCCTGGTGTACAACAGGGAAATTAGAGGTTTTCAAGCATCCTTGGTGCAAGGTATATGGCGTGTATCTTTCCTGAGGCGGGGAGATGGTAAACTCAGTGGCCTAAAGGACACACTATGTAGCTGTCCTCCCTTGTTGACATCATCCTGAGCCTGCAGTCTTGTCGGAAGACCTCAAGTATCAAGTCTGAATTCTCCAGACACTTCCCAGAACCATCAGTGTCAGCAAGTAACGGGAAATGTCAGCTTATAGTCAGAACACAGAACGAGAAGACAAGCCGTGTGGGGAGGGATAAAAGGGAAGGGTATGAGTGGGATGTGAGGTTGCACAAGACGTGTAGAGGCAGGAACATCCACAGCAGCCAACTGCAGAAAAGAGCCTTAGCAGAGGAGAATTGGGAGAGCCGGGCTCCACCAAACTGGTTTTCATCCGCAGAGTCACATGTGTTCATAGCTCTGGGAAATATGGCCTCAAGTCTGTGACCGGAAGTCGTTGTCTCCCTAAGGGCCCTCACACATACATTGCAGGCAGCACCACTGTTATCTCTCTACTAGCTCAGACCCCAAGTGTTAAGGTTACATTGTTCTTTCTCACTGTGGGAAGCCTTTTTCCATCTCTCATCTATTTCCTGTTCCTTTCCCCGGTATTCTCTTTTTCTGGAAACCCTTCATAACCATCAACACCAGGTGAAAATTCCCTCTGTTACAGTGTTTTTCCACCTCTGCACCCAATGTCTTATCCTGTCTGTATTTTCATTGCAGTGTGCTTCTATGTTATTGGGAAATATCATCTTTCTGTTTTGGCTAGGAATCTGTAGAGATAGGAAGGAATTATTATGGGAAGAGGAGGTAGATAAAAAAGGCAAATTAGAGCTTGGCATGGTTGTCTCTGTGTAAAAGTGTCATTGACTTGAGGTCAGGAAGCTGTAAGATTGCCATTAACTACCTGGTGGCCATGCAGCTCTCTAAAGGACTGACTTCTAATAAAACAGAGTCATAAAACTGAGTTACAAGTGGAGATAACAACTAATTTACAATGGGAATTAACAAGTAGATCTCCGCTAGCATTATTTTTGCAATAAAGGGTCCATTCTTCATTTCAGTCAAGATGCTTAAAAGTCCAATCAAAATCAACATGATTGCTAATTTGTTGGGAGAAATGTGTGTCTCAGAGTTGCCATAGTGAATGGTAATTTTCAGGTTCATTTTCATGGCAGAGTTAGTGTTTGAGAGAAATCACTCAATAATTGAAAGGTTGTTGTATCTGAGTCCCAGTGAGAAGTGCAGATGGCTTACATGAGTGATGTTTATGTCAGCACCCATCCCACAGTGAGGGAAGAACTGCAGATGAGAACTTGATCCATTTTTCCTGGACCAACATTGTTCATTTCTACCTGGGATCTGGCCTGTCCTGTCTGATAAAACTAGAATTCTTTATGCTTTGTGGCATAGGTTGTCCTCCCTCTGAGCTTACCTGTAGTTACCTAGCTTTTTTATATGACACATTCTTGCCTGTCAATATGTATTTAGGCTATATATCAGTTACATTTTTTGTTGTTGTTCCTGAGACACTGAGAAAAGCACCTGAAGCAAGGAGAGGGTTAATTTTGCCTCACAGTTCAAGACTATAGACACGTCAAGCAAGTCATGCTGGAAGGAACTTAGGTAGCACATCACATGGGTTCTGCAATCAGGAAGCAGAGCAAGATGAATGGTGAGGCTCAACTCCAATCATTCTTTAGTCTGGGACCCTGGTTCATGAATGATGCTTCTTATGTTTAGAGTCAGCCTTATCCTCTTAATTAACCTAACATAGAAACACACTGAGACATAGTCCCAGAGATTTGTTTTGGTGATTATTCTAAATCCTAGCAAGTTGATAATCATGATTAACCATTGCAGGAGCTAGTACTCTGATGCAGCAGCCCAGGAACTACATGTCTCCTATTGTCACGTTGGATGTCTAGGCTTT